CGCCAGAGCCGCAGCCGCCAAGCGCCATGGCCGCTTCCTCCCCCGCAGCAGTGGGAGCTGCAGCAGCGGCTGCTCCCAAGTCCCGCTGCCCGGGGGGGGAGAACAGCCACCGCCTGGCACCGCGGGCCGCTCCCCTCCTCTCCCTACCGCCCGACTGAGTCCTGCCTGCTCGGGGCCAGGCCAGACTCTTACTCACCTGGGCCCCGCGCTTCCTCTGAGTCTCCCGGGCCTCCCTCCAGCGCTTGTGGAGGGAGGAGGAATGGTGAGCCTGGGGAAGAGGCGGGGATTCGGGGAGGGAGCCAATCGGGGGAGGAGGGGGTGCAGTCGGGGCGGGGTGTGTGTGCGAGCCCTTGTTTGTCCAGTGTCCCGACCGCACGTCAGTCGGGACGCGGGACAAACAAGGAAATATCGGGACAGTCCTGATAAAATCGGGACGTCTGGTCACCCTAATCTCATCCCATCACCACCTCTACCTTTTCTCACCTCCCTAAAGAATCCTCTTCTCTCCTTGGTGTTGACATCTTCAGATATATGTAGTTGATTCTTGTGTCCAATTGCTTAGCCTCCCTGAAAATATTTCGCCCTTCTAATCTTCTCAGGACTCAATCCCTCCAGCCCCCTAACTTTTTTTGTTACTGTCCTTTGAACTTCCTCCTGTTTGTCAATATCCTTTTACTATGAAGGTGCCCAGAAGTGAACATGGTGTTCCTGTCATTGTTCTGGTTGTGGAACCATTGAGAGAGCAACTGTCACCACTCGGCTTTGTGATGTGATGTCTCTGTGTATTTAGCCCCAAAGCAACATAGGACTAGAAAATACAGGTGTTGGGGCCAGTAGCATGGAGGGTTTGAGGAAAACCTTGGTTTGCAGATTGTAAATGCCACTTAAAATTAAAAAGGTTTTGATTTCCCCTCTTTCCTCCCCCCACCCGCTGCCCTGTCTTTATCAAAACCAAAGTCATTTTAAAACTCTGGAAGTCATTTTCTGCAGAAATGGATTGAAGCAAATATCTTTTCTTTCAGGTTGAAATTCTATGAGCCACACTTCAGACCGAAAGGATTTTTGTCCCATTTATAAACTCCGTGAAATTAGAGGCTTATAAAAAATAGTGGCACCAGTAGTGGTATTGCAAAGCCAGAGCTTAGAAAGATGAGAAATTTACTGCTGCGTCAAGTAGGAAGAAGATTAACAGAGGAAAAATGGCCTGATTAAATTCAAAACTGCCCAGGACACATTCAGAATAGTTAGTGATTAGTGCAGGAAGTTCTGTTTGTACTCAGATTCAGTAGAAACCACCATGATGGGCAGTGGTTTTGTTCTTTTATAAGAAGGGTGGTTTGGGATAAAGATATTGCAATCACATGCTGCCTGCCTCAGTAAAGGCCAAATTCCTATAGAGACTTGTCAGTCTTCTGCTGCTGATGTAAATTCAAGTATCTGTTAGAGGCAGAGGGTCATTTCACTTCATTTTCTCTTAGTCCTGAGCCTCTCCGAAGGTAATTTGTCCCTGGTTATAGGTGGGCTTACGATTCCGACACACCAGAGTTTGGACCTGAGAGCAGAAAGGCCATTGCTTTATCCACCGAGCATGTGTGCCAGTCATGAAACTAACCGAATCCGTAGAACTGTCTGACTCTCTTTGAGAACACCACCTGCCTAGTCATTGTTATGCCGGATTCTCTTTCAGGTTTGAAGGACTGTGATGTAACGCAGTTGGGAATTCCCACAGCAGAGGAGTATTTTCAGATGTATTGTGAACACATGGGAATTCCACCCATTGAGAACTGGAATTTCTACATGGCCTTTTCCTTTTTCAGAGTGGCCGCCATCTTGCAGGGTGTGTACAAACGCTCGCTCACAGGTGAGAAAATGAAGCCAGCCCCTGAATGTTCAATTGAGGCCACATGTATTAGGATGGAGGCTTATCTATCCTCTATATGCTGCACACACACACGGTCCACCCACAACCACACTGAAGAGATGTCAGTGCTGTACCAGTGTTTAACCACTAGCAGGGAAGTGACTTCAGTTACAAATGTCTGTACAGTAGCTTGTGTAGCAGTATTGCACCTCTGGAGGGCATCATAACTATACATTTTGAGCGGCTCTGAAATTCCGGCCAGTAGAAGGCAATAGTGACTTACACAGTGTGGTAGGATCGAGGGACAAATGTAGCAAGTTTTTCTAGAAGGGCTAAGATGGCTTGTGGCTGCAGCACGAAGCTGGACATTAGGAGATCTGGGTTCGAGTCCCAGCTCGGCGTCCGAATCTCTTTGTGATGATGGGCAAGTCGCTCAGGGGTACGTTTACAGTCAGACTGAGCACTGCCCCACTTTTTATAGACAAAGTCCGTGCCCATAGAGCCTACACCTGTAAAAAGAATATAATTGGAGGGGCACACACTCGGATTTGGCACTCAGTCTGTGAGGCGGTGTTCCTTTGGGATTTGCCTTGATGATGATACTCTGATTGGCACTTGCATTTCAGTTTCAGGCCCAAAAGGTGCCATCCTGAAAATGTACCCTTCCCCTTCCTCGGAGGAGTGATGGGGGACTTCATTCCTTAATGTTTGTGAGGTGTGGGAGAGGGGCAAAGGGTTATTATTCAAAGAGAAATAGTTAAGGGCTCACAACAATTACAGAACGAATCCTCCCTTGCATAGGCCTTGGGAGGCTTTGGCATGGAGGCTAGTTGGAATGCCAAGCAGCGCTGCGTTCGCTCAGACAGCCATCTGTAATAAAGGAGTGGTTTCTGCAAACAAACACAGAGATGGCAAGAACAATGTGTTTTACTAGCTGTTGCTTTTTGCTGCATTGCAAGGTCTGATGTGGTTACTGGGCGGGGCTGCTGTAGGTGAGCACTAGTATCTGCCTGATTGCTGCCCTCTACCCCAGAGCTGGCCACTTTTCAGCCGGGCTGCATGTATATTGTGAAGGGCTTTGGGAGCAATATTAACCATACCCAGCACCTGGCCTGCTTTTATCACATGCCAAGTCGAAGACCAGGAAACACAGCTCAAAGTCTGACCTGCTGTGCCTTGGAGGAAAGGAGGTGGGGTGACTGCTATTGCAGATGATGGATCTTTGAACAAGAGGAGAAATTTTTGATGGCTTTGCATGAGATCACAGAAGCAAAGCCCAGGCCGTTGGTACATATGCGAAAAGCTTGGTACCAGTACTTGGTACTCTTGCTGGTTCACTAGCACAAGGAAACCATGGAATGGGATGGGATGGACGTGATTAAAAATAATGTGCAGCCAAGTCTGTTAAGCTGAGAGAGGAATCCGTAATCACCCTGGGCCCTATATAGTGTTCTTTCCCCCTTCACTGCAGCACAATGCGTCCCTCTGCCTGGGCTCAGCTCTTCCCACTGCTGTAGAATGTGTCCCTTGCTTTGCTCATTGCAGACTCATCCACTGGGGTATTCAGGGCTGACTCTGGGCACTTTGTCCTCCCAAGCTGGGGCGGCTCAAACTTTAACCTACTAGGGACTCTGTTGGCAACTTGCCAGGGTGCTGATAGACTTGGTGTTTAATCAGAGAAACTGTGACATTGTTGTCATATCCCTTATAAAATAATCCTGCATCCTGCAGCGCCAGCGCTGAGTGCTAGTGTGTGCTGGTGTTTTGGACCTTTGTCATGCGGACTCTCTAAGCAGATGGTGATTATTGATCACTTCCATTTCACGCAGGTCAAGCAAGTTCAGCTACAGCTGAAAGTGGCGGAAAGCAGGTGGAGCTCATGGCCAACTTAGCGTGGGACTTTGCTACAAAAGAAGGATTTAGAGTGTTTAAAGAATGTCCAGCTGCAAAACCTTTCGCAAGACCTTACAGTACCTGGACCAGGAATGGGGCATTCTCCAGGAGAAACTATGTCACCGTGGCACCTTCCTCACCAGCTCACACTTCCAAAGCTCATCTTATTCTTTCTCCTGACGGCCTTCCCGGGAGAGCCCAGGATCTTTACCGCAAGCTGAGGCGATTCATGGAAATCCATGTCTATCCTGCTGAGCAGGTTCTGAGAGATCATCAGGTTTCACAGTCTAGATGGACTCCACATCCTCTTATAGAAGAGCTGAAGGTAAGTCATACGTCTGCGTAAAGTAACAATGCCTCCAAGCCTGGGTCTGTAAGATGGCACATTGACTGCAAAGCTCAGGGCCCAGGACACCTCTGAGCCAGAGCTGTGCACTTTCCTGAGCAAATCACGTATCTGCTCCTGTCAGTCCACAGCTCCAATGCAGTAAGAGAGGGGGAGCTGGAGTCTCATCTGGCTTGCACACCATCAGCTCAATTCTGACTGCAGAATTTTTATTATGGGTGGCAATGACTTAAGTGGGGAACCAGCTTGACTCCCAGAGCCTAGGGAAAGTTTACAGGGCTGGGAATGAAGTCATGGAGAGAGGCAGTAAATACAGAGCCCACATCATCATGTAAACTGACTGACTACAGTTGCATTTTTCAGGGAAACATTTGTCCTGGGCATCTTCTGGTAGGTGTAGCCCCTCTAGTGTGTCTCCCATCTCGTGGCTACGAGCCAGCCCCAACTTCTGCCCAAGTTGTCTGGGCTGCATTAGCTCAGTGACTTGCTCACTCAAAATCCTGTCTTGTGTATTAACCTGCCCGTGTCCCAACACAGTTCCTGACCTAACGGGCACGGTCTTCCATTACATATCACGCTGGCTGTCTCTTGAATTTGATCTCTGGAGCTGTGGAAGGAGGATTGAGGGAGGGACTTCTACAAGTACAGTGCAACTGTGATCTTCATTTTTATACAAGAGGGCCTGGGCATTAGGAGATTTGTCCTTGGGGCCTGAGTCTGATCTCACACCGCTATGTCCCCATTGACTTTAAAGGACTTACTCCTGATTTACACTGCTGTAATCAAGCTCTTCAGGTCCAAGAGCCAGAATCAAGCTCTTCAGATCCAAATCATTCTCCAGTCCAAAGCCATCTCTCTACTATCACTCTAGCATTTGTCCCTCTTATAGGCTGCAAGTGATGTTTCCATAGACCCATTGGACTAAACTCACCCCTGGTGTAACACCATTGACTTCAATAGGCCAACCCCAAGCTGAGTCTGACGCACTGTCTGTCTTTAGCTCGTTTCTTCCCCACAGCTTTGGGTGTTTGTCTGTTGATGAGCGGGAAAGGCAGAATTCAGGCCTCAGCTCTGCTCAGCAGATCCCAGCCTTGTCGGGTTGTCCTTCCCGCAGCCATGCCCGTTGGGGGTCTCTATGGGCAGGGAACTGGCCCCTTACACCTGAGAACAGAATTGGGCCCGAAGTCTCATGCTGTTCCATTCTTTAAGGACAAGGCAAAGGCTGAAGGACTGTGGAACCTTTTCTTACCTGTGGAGAATGATCCAGAAGTGAAATATGGAGCAGGCCTCACAAACCAAGAGTTTTCCCATTTGTGTGAGCTCATGGGAACATCACTGTTTGCACCTGAGGTACCTGCTTTAAGCCTTTACTAAGTCATCTGGGTGGCGGAGGGGAAACACGCAGGCTGGGTGAGGGATTCTTAGCTAGCCCTCCGTTGCTGGAATTATCCCCTGCCCTACTAGTGCCCCCTGCACACATTTCCTCCCTCCCCTCCCAATTGCTCCCACCTCGGCACCTGGCTGCTTTGAACCTGACTGCTAATGCTGCTTTTGCAGTGTGTAGTTGTGCTATTTGGGGAGGGCCAGTGCTGGCCAGAATGTGGCCCGTTGTGCGCTATGCTAGTCAGCCCAGCACCAGCCCCTGATGGAACCACGTGTGCGGGTTTTCAGTATAGCATGGAGCCATTCTAGCCAGGCTCCTACAAAGGGTTTCACCCTGCCCTGCATTGCCTGGGGTGTGGTGAGGAGCCTTTTCCCTGCTCCAGTGCACCCAGGCAGCAACAGGGCAGGATCTCACCAAATACTTAAGGGAGAGTTGTCTGCAGCACACATCGCACCCAAGGGGGTTGCCAGTAAGTGTGCAGTCCTTCGATTTGTGTGTTCCCACTTAGTACTTCAAAAGATAAGAAATAAAACCAGCTGAATTTTAAGGTTCGAGCCTCCGGGGCAGTTGCAGATCATTTAATTGAGTGGAGGAGCGTGAATGACACAATGGGTGATTAAAATTAAAAACTTTATTTATAGTTATTTAAAGCCAACAGGCCTTACACTTAACCACGCTCTGCACTGACCCTCGCATTCTAGGATGGAATGATGAAGCCAAGGTGATCAGTCCCTGGCGGGAAGAATGGGGTTAACCCTTTCTCTAAGAGTACCTGGATAGTGGATGGGCACGCCTATCTGACAGCAGCTCACTACCCTTTTTATAATCAGTGATAATAATGGCCCTTAAATAATAATCCACCTTGTTACTATAATTAAAGATTTTCTACTTTCTCACTGACTGTTTAACATTAGGCATCATCTCAATTAACGTGTGTAAATGCCAAACCAATCACTATAAATCAGGGGTCTCAAACTCAATTTACCTTAGGGCCAGTTCCAGTCCTCAAATCCTCCCAGCGGGCCAATAATGTCACTGAAGATGGTGTTCAGAATTGTATTTGTATATTGTATTTTTTATTTTGAATTTCTTAGAAATAATAAAACTGTCATACAACTTGATAGGTTACAAAGTAGCAGCACATCTACCAATGTGGTATATGCCAGCAATGCCGCTCTGCCATGTACATTGGCCAAACTGGACAGTCTCTACGCAAAAGAATAAATGGACACAAATCTGACATCAGGAATCCTAACATTCAAAAACCAGTGGGAGAACACTTCAACCTCTCTAATCACTCAGTGACAGACTTGAAGGTGTCAGTTTTGCAACAAAAAAACTTCAAAAACAGACTCCAAAGAGAGACTGCTGAACTCAAATTAGACACAACTAATTTAGGCCTAAACAGAGACTGGGAATGGTTGGGGGTCATTACACTAATTGAATTCCCCCCCCCCCCATGTTAAGTTCTCCTCACACCTTCTATGGGTCATCTCGATTATCACTTCAAAGGTTTTTCTTCTG